TGCGTTCACCTGGAATATGAACGGTAACGTCACCACATCCTCTCAGCTTGGAAATTTAGTAAGTCAGCACGAGACTATAAACTTGTTCTCCTTTCCTGGAATTTACAGAGAAGCTCATTTCACCCGAGATGTTCGCTGAGATCCTGTGTGACGACTTGGACCTCAACCCGCTGGCCTTCGTCCCTGCCATCGCCTCCGCCATCCGACAGCAGATCGAGTCTTATCCGACAGACAGCCTCCTGGAGGACCAGACGGACCAGAGGGTGATCATCAAGGTGATGCTCACTCCACGTAAACGGACGTGTTCATACCTGTAGCACAGAAAAGTTTACCCAGTCTTCTTCTCTTCTTGTTCCAGCTTAACATCCACGTTGGGAACATCTCTCTGGTGGACCAGTTTGAGTGGGACATGTCTGAGAGGGAGAACTCTCCAGAGAAGTTTGCCCTGAAGCTTTGCTCTGAGCTCGGCCTCGGCGGCGAGTTTGTCACTACCATCGCCTACAGCATCCGCGGTCAGCTGAGCTGGCACCAGAGGACGTACGCCTTCAGGTACGGGATCACAGAGGCAATCTAAGCAAGGCGAGAAAGCAACAGAAGATTTGTTGGAGAAATAATTAGTTTTGGTATTTAATAAATATCTGTCTAATAGTTTGATAAAATGATTTTATTCTGCTGAACATTACGCATCCATGAGCTGAGGATGTGCGGCGTTTCATCACAGAGCCTTCATTGAAAGCTAAATGTTGTAAACGCCAATTCACCCGACTTGGATTTAAAGATGATTTCAATCCAGTTCAGGAGATAAGGATATGCCTTTCTTTACGTATTAATTACTTACAGAACCCTGAGGTATGTATAAGTATCCCCTGTGAGGCTTCAGACTGAGTCAGTATGTGACTCATGCAAAGCTGCTGTAGTTAAGTCAAAGGATAAAAAATATAGAGGTGGAAATGTGCAGAAAACATAATATAAAGCTGAAAAGACCATAGTGAGCTGATAAAACGGCACCTTTCCTTCAAAATGTAATTGGTATGTCATTTAATACAATTTATGGGAAAAACATTAACATGATGTTATAGGCTGTAGTGTCATTTTATGACCTCCTGACAGTTTCCTTAAATCCAGAGGAGCAGTGAACAAAATTCCCCCAAACACTGACACGTGAAATTGAGGACTTCCTTGATAATGTGGTATCCAGGCTGCCTGCAGCTCGTAGCCAAAATGTATGCGTACCCTTTCAACAGTGTTATTTCGTGCAGTTGAATGCTAGGAACCCTGCACAGCAACGATGTGCACTTACTGGGTAATTTCATGAGTTGTCATCTTTACAAGTATTACATTTATTTTCTGATATTTGAAAGTCTTTAGTTAAACTCTGAGCTTGCAGAAACCCAGAGCAGCAGATAGTGTTGAAATTTTTGGGTGTGTGTTTGCTGTTGGTGCAGTGGCCATCTGGCTGCGACCTTTGACCGGTCAGAAGTGGAAGGGTTTTGGATTCGGGTCTCTTTGGGTGGGTGCATTTCCTCTGCCCTCGGCTGAAATGTCGCCGCCTGTCTGCTGCCGTCAGACGAGAAGTGATGAAATGTTTGAAACCCAGACGGCAGCGCTGATCTCTGTCACAGCTGGACTTCAGCTGTGGAAGTACTACTTTAGGACCGTTTGTTTTGCTGCTTCTTTCATGGCAACGAAGAGTGCTTGATGAAGTGTTTTCACTGCAAACAGTGCAAAGAAGAGTCACACTGAACAGAGTTCAGCATCAGGGAGTGTGGTAACGAGCGGCTTCTGCCAGCGGTTGCTCACGACGGCGGTCAGCAGTTACAAAAACATGAGTTCAGGCCGTTTCGGTGCCTCATCTTCTGCTTGTTTCTACATCAGTTTTCGACTTCTTGTGATGTTTTTAAAATATCTGCAAAGTCAGGAATGTTATTTGTTTCATGATCAAAAACATGACAAACATCGTAGCTGCAGAAAACTGTATTTAGTTGGTGTAACGGAAACTGTGTCCGGTACTCGTCTTTGAACCTCATGACTGGAAAACATTTAAACTCAATGACATCACAGTGTGAGCTGCAGCAGGAAGCGGTCGTTGTAGTAAAGGAAACTGAATTAAAGTCTCTGTTGGTTTTTCTTTTGCAGTGAAAACCCTCTGCCCACAGTGGAGATAGCAATCAGAAACACAGGTGATGCTGACCAGTGGTGCCCCCTGCTGGAGACGCTGACAGACGCAGAGATGGAGAAGAAGATCAGAGACCAGGACAGAAACACAAGGTGGGTGTGGCCTGTTATTTTAAATCATTATTTGATTAGCTGGAGAGAAAAAAAAAAAGGAGTCGGCTGATAAACTTAATCAAATAAACTCCAGAACGTGGATGAATGATCCAACCTCATGAACTGAAAACGAGACATCACTACATTCGATAGTTTGGATTCTGTCCCTGTTATCATGCAGGCTGACGTTGGCCAGCATCAGCCTGAAAAAAACACCAAATGATCCAGAGAGGAATCAGAAGTCCTGATGTTGAGCGTAGTTTTTCCATTAAAACTAAGCAAAGGTTAAATGCTAGTATTTATTTATTTATTTTTTACAAGAATATCTTGCAGCCGTTAACGGTCCCATCTTTTAATGGTGGTTTCTTACATGAATACAAGGTCGCTTTAACCCTCACGTTTGTCTTCGTGTGTCTTGCTTGAAAGACTTTTCACCGATGGTTAAATTTCAGCCAAATTATTCTAAATGTGAATATTTTATTTCTCTGTTTTGAGAAAAAGAAGTGTGGATTAAACAAAAAACCTTTTTGGATACCTCTACTGATGCTCTGTTCTTCTTTGCTGCACAGGCGAATGAGGCGACTCGCGAACACGGCTCCTGCGTGGTAAACAAAGCAGCACTGGTGCCCCCTACTGGAACAGCGCTCATACCATCGCAGTATGACATCATCTCGGTTTGCAACATCGGCCGTGAAGAAGCTCCTCCGTCACAGGATGGAGGGTTTTCCTGCTCTGCCCGGACCTCCGTCAGCTGTTCCCCATGTTGTTGTTATTTTTTTATGATTAATATTGATAATTCTGTTCAGTTTGGCAAAGACCCTGGTAGGAAATTCGCCTCCTTTGTGTTTCCCTTTGACACTCAGCGTGGAGAAGCTGCTCTCTCACTTTGACCACTGACTGTCTTTACCTGACCACAGAGGGAGGGAAACACACACACCAGTCTCAGATAATATATTATGTTGTGTTTGTTGTCTTTTTTTGTACATTTTAATAATTCTTAAAAAATAGTAATAAAAAAGACAAAAAACAATAAAGCACTTGGTATTCTGTTTAGTTTATCAGTGAGTTTGCTGCTGTTATTGCTATTAAAACAAGTTATTTTGTTGTAGGTTTATATAAAGCTGAAATTTCCCAGGCATCTGCTTTAATTGAGTCTCCTTAAAAAGATGGAGCGAGCGATCATTTAAAGGATCATTACAGCTTGTTTAAAAAGTCAACATGCTTCTCATTTATGTCTTTATTGTGGCTCTGTGGGTTCTGCATGCTCTGATGGAGAGTTTCAGGGGTAAAAGGAGCCAAATGGTGCCAGTCTCCCCCCCCCCCCCCCCCCCAAAAAAATAATTCCTAAAAAATTCCCTATCAATCAGTTCAAATTGACTGTAGCTTAAATGTTTTCCAGTCATGGTTTTAAGGCCTCTCCTAGATGGTCGTGGGCTTGTCCAGCCAGGACGGCTGCATAACACAAGTGTTACATAGATAATCTTCTAATGTTTGGAGTTTCTATCCAAAAAAACCCATAAAATTCAATTTAAAAAAATTAATTTGGAGATTTCTGAATTATTCCCCAAATGTCCTTTCATGTGGAAACAAACCAAAAAACAGTCTGACCCCTGACTTGATACTTACGAGCAGCACTGTTGCACAAGATGATGAAGTGCTTGTTTTGTTGTCGGGGTCCCACTGAGGCTGGTTGCTGTGTTGTTGTGCTAAGCAGTTTCCATTTTGTTCCCAGTGTTTGAGTCACAAAGGCGGTGGGTGAAAGTGCAGCGTGTGCAGGCGGCTTTCAGGCCGTCGGCAGTTCAGTCAGGCAGCAGCAGGAAAGCAGAGAGCAGAGTTACGGGTCAGTCCTGCTCCTTTCACTTCGTCCTCACCTGAGATTACACATCTGCTTAATAAAACGAAAGCAGGAGGTCAAAATCAAGATGCTCCACAGTTCAAATTACAGATTTGACAGGGGCCAGAACCAGCCTGCTAAAGGGGTGTCAAACATAAGGACTGGGGAACAGAATCTAACTGTCAAAGACGCCAGTCCGGCCCACTGAGCGGCTTTGGAAAATATGAAAGAGTGCATAGATTTTTAACTTCTGGCTTTATTTAAAGTTTTACAGCTTTTCCTCGTATGCATTTGTTTTACCTGGCCTTAAAAAGGAATGAGGCTGTATGTGGCCTAAATGCGTGCGACACCCCTGATCTAGATAGTTTTTCTCTTGATCAACAGTGTTTTCATTTTTGTTTAGCTCAAAAGATTATTTAACAATTCTCGACCATCCATTTTCTCCTCCTAGAAATCAGCTCAGGTAATGTTTAGAACATTAAACTTGCATGTAGGCACCAATGCAAGTTTTGTTTTGGAGCCTTTTTTCCAATAAAGACTGGACATCGGTAAGAGATGTTGTCATTAAACGTGTTTGCGGCGTACCCTGGACTCAAAATCAGCTTTCCCAACTATAAAAAGAAGAAAACCAAGATCAGAAATTCACTGAATTGGTATTTATTGGTAAAATAACAAAAACAAACTTTAAAAAGAATTATTGCCATTCTCCTAATTTATTTGCAGTATTGTAACAGAGTTTTTCCTGCTTTTTTTATTTTATTTATGTAATCGGTTCCATGTGTTCATCATATAATTTTCAAATTTTGTGTGATGGTAGATACCAATAACAATGCGAGCTGAGGAGAAACCATATCGAGTAATACATCATATATCATATCATATGAAAGGGCACGGAGAGAGCTGTGCAACAGGCTTTTTATTTTTTCAACATGACGCTTGCAACGTCACAACGATGCTACAACAGGCTGATGCCATGATACTGTAAGAAAAACAGGCTGACATCAGCATGTTGGAATAAAAACTTCATGAAACAATGTTTCAGTATATCCCTCGCCCTTCGGGGGGAGTTGCACTCTGGGTGCTCTTGTTTTATATTTGTGCTCATTTCTCCTTTTCCTGCATCATGTGTGGAGCAGACTGAGGTGAAATATTAACTGATGACAACGTGGTATGTTTGCCATCAGTGTAAGAAAAATCCCAAACAATTGTGGCATTTAACCAATGTCTCCTTACTGTTGACCTTATTACAGCGTCCCTCTGACTGAGCTCGTCATCCACATCATCTCACTCAACCAGTTTGCTGTGAAGTATAAAACCTGCACATGTACAGAGTAAAGCTGTTGGTGTAGCAAACTGTGGACCCTCCATGTCCATCCATAGTGAAAAGTTTTCAGCTTGTTCTTCCATTTCTGGTCCTTTTTTCTTGTTAAGGCAAATGAAATCTCTGTGGTTACAATACGCTGAACAAAGCTAAATATTCAGTCTATACAGCTTTACAGTCCTGTGGCGGTCTGTGTCTGACTTTTCACAGCTCTCTGGGCTCTCAGTTGTGTTGCTCCCCATTCGGCTGCAGGGCTCCACCCTGCTGCTGCTCCTCCAGGAGGGGACGGTAGTCTGGGTCCTCTGGCCGATCAAACATGGCCCGTCTGTTAGGAGAGAACAAAACGACGCTTGTGTTCATTTTCACCTCATACCATACCGTGCAAAACTCTTGAGTCACCTCACATTTCTTCATATTTGGATTCCAAGGAGTCAGACTTTTTTTATTGTGCCTTATCTTAAAGTGCTGTTGTCTAGTCCTTGTACCTGACCATTTTAAGGTTTCTCTTTGGTTTGCTAAGTTACTTAACAATGACGTGCTGAATTGTTTAAGCATAAAAAAAGCACAAAACTTAAGGCACCAATGTTGTGTGTACATATAACCCACAACTTAGCAAAGAACCAATTGTAAATGTTATCTTTAGGCATTTTGTTACTAGCAGTCTGTTACAAAAACACATAATTTGTTCACATCTCTTTGACTGAAAATGTTGCAGTTTTGGAGGCATAAAACAGAGTTCACTAACAAGATGATTCCCAAAGAGCTGAAAACACATCTCAGCATGGTGTGCAGTATGTCCATAAAAAAAGAAAATCTGAGAACACTGAACAAGTGAACAGTACCTAAAAGTCATGTATTTAAGGAATTGGAAAAAATACAGCAAAGACCTGACACGGGACGTGAGAGATCTGATCCTTCAGTTGATCATTTACTGTTCACTGAAGCCTCATCGGAAAAGCAATTCTTAAGAATGGGAAACAGGAAGGAAAGTCTGAGGTATGCCGAACTACACAAGAACTGTGTGTGTGTGTGTGTGTGTGTGTGTGTGTGTGTGTGTGTGTGTGTGTGTGTGTGTGTGTGTGTGTGTGTGAGAGAGAGAGTGTACATCCATCTGTAAAACATGGTGGAGGCTCTGTCAGGGCTTGGGCTGCATTTCAGCCAGTGGTGTTGGGAATTTCGTCAATAGTTATGGAATTATGAATTCAGAAGTAGGATGTTGATCCACCATGCAATACCATCTGAAAATGCATGTGATTGGCAGCCTCATTTTTCAGTATGGCAATGAACCCAAACACACAGCCAGTGCAGTATAAGCATCCCTGGACATAAAAAACAAAAAAAACAAACACATAATGGAGCACTGTCAGTCTTGGTTTGGCCTCCCGAGACCCCGAACCTCAACACTGAAGCAGTGTGGGATCATTTTGACAGAGAACAACAGAAGGGAGAGATTTGGATGTCCTTCAACAAGCCTGGGAAACTATTCCTGAAGACTACTGAAAGAAATTAAGAGAGAGCTGCCCCACAGAGTTCAGACTGTCATAGAATAAATGTGGTCATTCCAAATACTGCCTTTCAAGCTTGTTATAATTGTACAAACACTTTTGGCTTATATGCTGTATTTCCATGTATATTTGCACGTTTCAATAAATTGCTGCACCAGTTTCCCATTTTCCTAGCAAAATATAAAAGGTGTATAGGTGGTATAACCAGTATTGAGACCGAGTTTTCAGACTGTGCCTCGACTGGTCATCTCTCTAAGAAAAGAGTTTCCACATGTTGGACTTCAGCTGAATAAACACTGGTTCTTACAGAAGTTCTGGAGTCATCAGCAGCTTCCTTCCTCCCGGCTGGTTTGGAAACACATCTTCAAGGAAATAGTACATGTGACCGACACTGATACCTGAGGAGAGAATAAAGTCAGACACCCGAATTTCAAATAAACTATTGGATCGGATAAGGGGAAGAATTAGTTAGTCGGTTGAGTCAGCCGGTCTTTTCCTAAAAAGCGCCTTTTGCCAACCATTCATGTTAACTGGTGTTAAATGAATGAGCAGAATTCGAGTCGTCTCATACCAAGCAGGTCGACCACGATGGAGTTCCCGAGCAGCAATGAAAATCCCATGAGCACCCAGGGAAGAAACGGGGCCTGAAAGTTCAGGAGGCCGAAGAAGTTCATACGTATGAGCGGATGTCTTCTACTCCACACATACACCAGCATGATGATAAAGGCCTGACCCAGGAAGAAGATGTTGGCGAACAGACCGAACAGCTGCGGGACTTCAGGTTAAATAAAAACATTCACCTATTCATCAAGAGTCAAAGTTTAAGAGGACAAACTAACCTGAACAGTTGGAGCTTTAGTTTAAGAGAGAAAGCTATTTATTTGAAGAAACAGGGTTTTATACATCTGTTAGTCAGACAGAACTGGAATATAACCCCACAGTAGCTGATTAAGCTAAACAAAAAGAAGAAACAAGTTTTTCCATCTCATCTCTGCAGGTAGAGACAATGTTATTGTTTAATGAATGCTAAACCCTCCACAATAAAAGCCAAACTATGACATTCCCGTCATTCCAGCAAACCATGTTACATGTTTATAGCAGAATTAATCCTGCAGTTCAAACTCCCCATGAAACACAGCATGACTGCATAAACCTGCACAATAACTGTTTAACAACCACCCAGAGACACGTCTGTGGTAAACCCACTCACAACAGCATCATTAACCTGGAATCTGAGCAAACTGCTGCGCATCATCAAAAAGAGGTGCACTCTGTACAGCGACTGACTTTACACACTTGGAGCCTGCAGACGTCTGCGGAAGTCTCTGACTGACATTTCTGATCAAAGTGGAAATAAGTCTTAAATTATCTGTGGAAAATCTGGGAACAGGATTTCACAACTAGTTTGGATGCCGCCAATCCAGGCAAATTACACAAGTCGACATACAGTGGGACTTTCAGTGACAGAGAAGAGAGCTTGTGTTAAAGTCAAAGGATCTTATTCCAGATTTTCTTCATCTTATGCCATCCCATAGCTGTGGTTGTTTACCCATCACTCATCCTTCGCCTAAACACGTTAAAGGATACAGTGATCACGATCCCTCCAAACAGGAACATGAAAACAAAGTCCGCCGTCCTGCCCCGAAAACAGCCTTCCTCCAGCATCCGACAGTATCGATAGCTTACTTTCAGTTAAGGTCTGCTCAGCTCTGCTGCAGATTTCACCATAATGTGAGCTTCAATTCGGTAAACTTTCATATTAAGATACAGAAAAAGATACAGAAAGATGATGTTGAACACGAAACTAAATCCGAGAGAGCCGAAGAACAGGAAGCTGGTTATCAGGCGCCATATCTGAGAAAGAGAGGGAAGAGGAGTGTAACAGTGATGATATAACACATAATTAACTCAAAGTTTCAGTTAAATAGTTGGTAAATGGTACCTGGTATCTCCTGATGATGAGCTCTGGGTTAAAGTAGAGCTGAAATGGGCTGATGAACTCAAGTTGCTAAAAAGTAAAATACAGCCTAAAATTAATTAATTCTGGGTAGCTTGTATGATTATTCGCTATAACTAACTGGAAGTTCACTTAAAAAGTCCTTGATGTCATTACCCTCTGCAAAACCTTCACCACCACCAGGGGGCAGCATTTTACCAGCAGGTGTGTTGAAATGTTTTTAGATGTTTGCTGCTCTTCTTTTACCTTTTGATAATTGTTCTATACCTGGTCTTTCAGCTGCTCCTTTTAGGGGTTGCCCCAACCAATCATCTTCCTCCATCCTATCCTAGCCGTAGCATCTGCTTCTGTCACGCTTGCCCTCACATGTCCCACTTCACGAAACCCATGGATCATTCATTACTGTAGTGCCCCCGTTTTCCTGGCAGCTCCATCTTCATCTTCATATCCACTCTCCCTGCTCTGCACATGTCCAGCTTTGCCACCTGTCTTTTGGTCAGTGCCACTGTCTCCAAACCATATATCGTATCAAATCAGGTCTCACTATCATCTTGTAAACCTTCCCTTTCACTCTTGCTGCAATCCTTCTTTCACAAATCACCCCTCACACTTGTTTTCACCCACTCCACCCTGTCTCCACTCTCTTCTTAACCTCTTTTGTGCACCATCCGTTGACCCCAGGTATTTAAACTCATCTACCTTCGCTACCTCTACTCCTTGCAGCTTCACTGTTACACCTGTCTTCCTCTCATCCACACACATGTATTCTGTCTTGCTTCTGATGACCTAGTGTATTGTCTTACTTATTTTTTCATTGATTGTACCTGAGCTGAGGTAACGCAAAAAATTTCCCCATCGTGGGATCAATAAAGTCTTATCTTATCTTCTCAACACTGCTCCATAAAAAACTCTTGACGCAAACATTACATCTGTAATGTTCTTTGTTAGCCTGTAGCCATACTACTACTCGCTGATTGTCACCGCTCTCCTTAGCCTAGCTTCTCTCTCCTTCCCATATCAGTAACAGTAAACTTCTTCTACATTTCTGGTCAAAAAGTCCACTTCCTTTTCCCCTAGACACCCTCTCTTTACCTGCACAGGTATGTCATCTGGACCAAATGAAAGCAATAAAACTGTCATTTGAAAAGAAGTGCCACGCAGGTGTTTGGTGTATCCTCTAGACAGAAGATCCTCTCACTTACTCCTTACTAATCCTCTACTTAGTTCATTCATCAGCTCCCCAGAGTGCCCCCTCCATCTTCTCATCACACTCCTTTCTTCACTCACATCCTAACCTGCTGCACATCCTTTCCAGCTCGATCTCTCTGCCTGGCCAATCAGTACAAGTCCTTCTCTCCTTCCTTAGTATCCAGTGTCACACACACATCACTGTAACTAACTTTTTCCTTTGAATATTTTCCCCTTTCCTCTGTCTAGAGGAAACACCAAACGCCTGCATGGAACCTCTTTTCAAATGACAGTTTTATTGCTTTCACTTTGAAATTATTTACCAAGTTCAGTGGTAACACATCAACTGATACTACAGGTACTTTCTATTACACGTGACTTGCTGTCACTTCATATCATATTAAATAATAAAGTACTTCAGATATAACCACGATCTCACTGACACTTTCTACATGAGGAGGCTACAACTAGATTCAACACTTGTATGCTAAAGGGTGCCTAACTTTACCACTCAAGTGTTTCCATAACTTTTACTTAAAGTGCAGCAAGTGCTTAGATCTCCTGACTAAGACTCACAATCTCACAGTTAAAATGTTGTAAGAGTCCAAGAATAACAAAAGGCAACATCTCTAATTTGCACAGTTTGAGGACAAAACAGGTTTTCCCCTCTGATCGGCAGATTGTAAATTGAAGGATTTGTTTCTTACCACAGCAGCAGTGGTGAGGACACAGGCGGTCGTGTACGCTCGGGTCACCACAGGGATCTGAAAATACTCCTGAGTGAAACTGTGAGCCATCCCTGCTGCTGCTGCTGCTGCTCCTGCTTCACTGTCAGCCATGATTTACTCCCCGAGTGAACAGCACAGGCCACGCCCCCTCCCACCACCTGACAATCGCATCCACTCATCAGCTCTGGTCTTTAACTTTAAATAACTTTATATAAAAGCATACATGACCATCAGGGAAAGCTCAAGTGAACAATTTAATGCCATTCTGTGTTGTGCAACAAACTTGCACTGGACACAGAGGTCTGCAATCCACATCATGCTTTATTCCTGGCAAACACACAGTATTAGAGTTTGGCTTCCCTACCCTGCCAGCATAATTTCTAATGTTTGTTGTACTTTTGGTCGGTCTTTCCCAGATGGAGTTTCACTGGAGTGATGTAAGATCCCTGACTTGCAGAGAAGGCTGCTTCAAACAAACTCCAGCAATATTATTTAAAATCCTTGTGAGGAGTTTTTAAGGCTTGCATAAGCACAAAAATGTCAGGCTGAGTTACGGGTTAAAACTGTAATTACTTTTACAGAAATATATCTTATAGAATGTGAGTTTCTGTTTTAAAGTGTCTGAATCAGTTTCTGAGCTTGAATCTCCCCAGAGCCAGACGGATAAAAAGGTTATGAATTTATTTCAGTAACTTAGAAAAAACAGAAAACAATACGCAGGTCATACATTTCAATGAACAGGGTAAAGGCTACAAAAGATTAAAAACAATATTAAAGACATGTATATACAGGAACATTTTCCTAAGCTGTTTGTGTATAAATATGTTTGAAAGCAGAGTTCACGGGTTGCAGAAATGATTCAAACAACAATGAGAGCTGTTAAAACTCGCCAGTGTCCTGCACTGAGCCTTCAAGCGCTGCATCAGGAGGCAGCAAAGGAAATGATGGCGCAATGGTTCTCAACCTGGGGGGCGCTGACCTACAGAGGAGTCGCAACCAGAGTTTTTCATGTCCTTAAATTGCTTTTACTTTCCGGCATTGATGGAAAGAATTTTCTTTACAGTTTTATGTTAAATATTGTAAATTTTGACCTCAGGCTGATCCTCGAACACTTTTGTTTATTTAATATTTCAGACTGTACCAACATAGTATTTGAAAATGACTCTGGTGCAGACGAAACCAAATGTAACTTTCTTATTGCTGCAACAAAATTTTCAGCTCAAATTTAGTTTTAAATCCTATTTTTTTAAAAAATGTTTTATTTACCAGGTTGATCTCCACAGCCGCTGCTATTCCCAAACCTCTTACTAATGAAACAGAAAAGAGCACCATGTGACAGATGGTGACGCAATGACTTCAAAGATGGCACAAAGAGTGACCACGGTCTCTGAGGTGGTTGACAGTGTTGCACTCTAGATGGCGCCCTGAAGCTTTTCCTGCAACAGGTGCCTGCACGCTGAGAAAGTGAGAACTTTACACCATCATGCTGGAAGAGTGACATCAAAACGTGATGTACAGCAATGGCATTCGCTTTTCTTCTGCCTTTTTAAAGACCCTGCACTGTATAAAACATAAAATATTTACTAATGCCAGGAAGAAAAGTATCTGAAAAACTCTTGTTCAAATATAAAAAGTAAAGGCAAAACCTCCTCGTCTCAAACAGCAGGGGAGCGGACACTGATGAAACGTTGCTGGTGTTACATGTTCTGACCCAGAGGAGAGGCTGGGTTTCTTATATTTATTCAGTGACTCACACCTGAGTTAGCTTAAGACCTCTGAGCAAACTTTAAAGAAGAACATACACGTTATTTATGGCAACTATTACTGGCTGAAAGTGACCAACTAACTGTCACATCATGGCTACCTTTGGTTGTGGCTAGCTTCACCTCTAGCAAGGCTGACATGAAAAAAGCTGTAGGAGGTGTATCGGTATGTGGATTCTATCTGTCAAAGCAACTCGAGTGGTTACAGTGTTAATTTTTGATTCTTCATTCTTTGGCTTTTTGTTTCATTCACTTTTGTGTATCTAATTTTATCAAAACTTTCTATTGGTGTAAGGAAAAGAATTGAAATAGGAGCTTGAAACATTAGAAACTTCGAATGCTATAATCTTGGAAGTTTCTGGTTTTCGTACGGATAAAAATTTAAATTAGATAAAGTGCAAAGGAAACGTGGCATAAATCATCATGACTCAGGTGTCTGAAAACATCAGTTCTGAAAGGACTCACTGAATAATGCATGAATAATATTATGGTAATGCTATCTGCACTATATTTTTGGTATCTAACAGCAATGAATGTTTGGCACAAATGTTCTTTGGTCCAGCAGTGATGGTGAATCTGGCCAGATGTTGCCCAAACCAAATCTGTGTCCTATCTGAGACACATCTGGCCCACACTACATTTGCCATAACTGCCAAATGTCTCTCACATCTGGGTGTGTTTTGATCGTAGGCTGTATATAAGAGATGCACATAAAGCTACATCAAATATAATTTTAACCTAATGAGTTCATGGCCTCGTTTGCCAAATTAAAGCCATACAGAATACAACACGGGGTATAAATGATACCTTTCCCTGCAGTCATAAAGGACGATCAATGTTCACGCTTGTGAGATTGTGTAACATTGCGTTCTTTTGAGAAATGCTCAGCTCGAGGCTTCAGAATGGGACTATCTGGTGGGCTGTCCATCTTTTTATAGATTTGGTGATTTTGAATTATGGTTAATGGGACTCAGGTTGGCAGGAAAATCAACTACATGTGCAATCATGTCTGTAAGAAAGGGAAGCATAGCTGAAATTGTTGCTCGCTGACATTCCTGCTGAGTGGCTCCTGGGTTTCATCGTTCAAACAAAACTCTGATCGCCACCTACAGCAGCTCATGTACAAAGTTTGATGCCGCTCTTCAGACCCTCATAGGGTTAGCAGAAGTCCGTCCATGATGAAAACACACAACTGCTGGAATGGAAAACACAGACTAAGGAGGACAGTCTGCGGACCAAAATCTCACTTTTCGGCTCAGAGAAAGGAGGTGAGAAGTGTGCAGTTCACAGCACACATCGTTAGACAAGGGCCCAGAACTCAGCCTTACTGTGACAAAAATGTGCAAAATAAATATGAGTATAGCTGCACAGGAAGTGCCAAGTCTGAGGGAATACAACTTGGTTTTCCTGAGAAGAAGGTGTACTTGATCTGTGTATCAATAAATGAAAGATAAACAGATTCAAAGGAGACGCTTTCGTCTCCTTTGAATCTTTCTCCAAAGATAAAAATGTCTTTGCTCCAAAAAAACCAAACAGACAAAAAAAGAGACTACTCCATTGCAAAAAAACAAAAAGATCCTCAGATTCAGAATCGCCCGTTTCTGCAGCCGAAGAAATCCACGCCGACGTAGCGAGGGTAGCCCTCCAAAGAGTTCATGTTAACAGGGTCAAATTTCCAGTACTGCCGTCCTCGGATGAAGTGAGCGTAGCCTGAAACACAGAGAGCACAAACAAAACATTTTTTATCAGCGCCACTGCGAATGTACCCGCGTTGGCCCAACAGCTGCTCGCTCTTGGCCAGATGTCAGATAAGCAAGTGAAAACCTGAAGCAGCAGAACAAGCAAAACAAGCAGCGTGCAGAGCAAAACATCCACAGGAACACATGCAGCAGCTTTTATGATAACTGGGTCATTCATAAATGACACGTTGAAGATAAAATTATCCTTGTTGTGTTGTGTGTACAGTTACACTTACAGCCTCTCTTACTCTCTCCATGCATTTGTGTTTTTAGTTTGATTTGCTTGAAATCAAAAGGAATCGTTATAAACTGATAGCGCTCGTGTAAAACATGAAACCCGACTGCGGCGTGATTCTGAATCAGATTATCTTAATGCTGAAAATCATTGTTTGTTGCAAAGCTGAAAAGCTGTTAAAACCACTGCTGAGTTATTTTTAAAACTTACAAAGCTTGTAAAGTATTTTAAACTGTTTATTATCATATTTATAGCATGGTAACGTTCCTGCGTCTTAATTCAACAATCACATGTAGCGCTCCAAATGTCATTTTATTTCAGAGACACGCGCACGTACCGTAGATGTCTCGGAAAGCGGCGTCCACGACGCTGGGGATGCCGATCCGGTCCTGCATGCTGCGCGGGGCAGACTCGACTCGGTTGTCCTGGGGGCTGAACCTCCAGTAGCTGCCTGACTTGAAGAAGTAGGTGTTGTAGTTGGGGTCCTGGCCCCAGCGCAGTGCTGCCTGGATCCCAGACTCGTACAGGCCCAAATTCCTGATGGACTCCGGCCCCCTGATCCGCCTCTCAGCATCAAACACCCAGTAGTTTGCACCTGCACAGACGGTGGGCTCCAATTAATATTATTTTTATATAATAAGATGACTTGTAATTAATGTACGTTCATTTTTTTGGTATAATGTATTTTCTAGCTACAAAAACGAATCGGTTAAGTATGACGTGAATTCTGAACGCTGTATGCTGAGCCATGTGTCAAGTTGACTAAGACGCTTCGCCATCTTGTGGTCCAGTGTGGTATTACATGAGAGTACTGCCTGGCCTTATTTCAACCTCATTTGAGATTTCTTAAACGCATCTTGATGGTGACTTCAGACCTGTTGTTTCTTCCACTGATAGGTTAAGTTAACTTTAGTAGACATTAAATGTTTTTAAAAAAAGGATGTCAGAAGACTTTTTGACTGGCCCGTCCATAAAGCAGACGCTGATCAAGCAGCTGACGTTTGTCAAGATAAGAGCAACAGTTATTTTATTTAGCTATACGTAGCTATACGTATAATTACGTATAATTATAAAAACAGCTTTTACAGTGTTTCTGGGAGTCTATGGTGGTTTGGTACACTCGACTGCAGCAACATCACAGACCCATGTTAATTAACATTTTTACATCTATTTAAACATGCCCATACATGGGCAGAATGCTTTACTTCTGTGTTTCTGTACAATTATCGCTCCCCTGAACTGCGCTTACATAAAACCATAAACCACTTAAGAGCAGCTCAAATGTCTTTACTGCTCACCTTGAAAGAACCAAATATTCCCTGACTTGTCTTCAAAGGCGGCATCGATGTTGTTGGGAATCCCCCGCCAGTGACGGGACGCCAGTGCCGGGTAACCGCTTTCC